AACCCAAGTGTGTGCAGTTAAAACAATAAGAATTAGAATGGCAGCAGTGGGCAGATTAAAAGTTCTAAAGTTATTTTCTCTTAAAGCATGGAGAATATATGCCTCTAGCATACTATGAGTTTATGTTAAATAAGGGATATAAAGTAGATTTTTGGACTGTCATGTTGTCAGGCTGCAAATGCTGATGACAGGAATAGGAATTTCCATGTGTTAGCATTTAGTGACTGGAAAAAAAGCCAAGAAGAACTGTTTATCTATCTTGATATTGACATTCAATGAGGGCAGTAAGTACTTATTTTATATACAGTTTATGTCTCACATCTAAAATGCCTCTAAAAAATACATCCAAAAAAAAGTGCTCTCACCTGTGCTGTCTCTGCTTCTGACAGCCAGCCAGCTCTCAGGTGATTCTCCAACTCCTGAGATTTTGCACTTGTAGAGTCCTTCATGAGACTTGTTAATATTGTGGATGATCAAAGTGCTGGTGGAGATGTTTTTGATAAAGAGGCCATTTTTATAGAAGGCAATGGAAGTAGACGCATTGGTAGACGCTGTCTTGTTTTTACAGCGCAGACTCACAGTGTTTCCCTCCATCACAGGAAGTAAAGGACTTTCCAGGATCACAGGACCAGCTAGTATAATTATAACATATGGTATAATTACTACAGCACCCTGGGAAATCGTGTGTTTGAAAGACATAATCTTTTGTCATGTAATATATAGGTTTTGAGCACTTTTGCGGGCAGAGGAAAAATACTATTACCAGCATTTAATTATGTCACTTACGAGCATTTAACAGATATCACATAATAATCCGAACATTTAGCAGATTTCTCAACAAGCCTTCTGTTTAGTGGTGTACTAATAAGAATATACTTTTTGCAATCCAATTCAGTAATTTATTCAGTAATATATTTTATTAATATTTTATTCCAACATAGTTGGTGTGAAGCACTCAGAATTTCGTTGTATACAATGACAAAGGACTATTCTATTCTATCCTTTAAATATGCATGTTAGTGAACACAGGTACAGTAAACTTACGTGTAATGGTGATGTTGACAGCGTTGCTTTTCTTTCCATCTCTGCTCTCACACCAGTACTGCCCACTGTCTCCCATAAAAACATGTTTGAAGATGCAAATGTACCCACTGAAAACTCCCCAACTAGTCCCACATGCTGTACTTTCGGTTGGCACCTTCCTCATTAGTCTCCATCCAGGAGACACGTCAAACTCCTTACAGTTAAAAGACAATGTGCTGTATTCATAGTGCTGAGAAGTGTTTGGAACAACATGAGGAAAAGCTGCATTGAACAACAACGAGGGAGACGGGACCATTAAATATGCACCAAGTGAAAATTGTCAAACCAAAACCCACAATCCCGGCTAATGTTATTCATGCAAAATAATTACATTTATTTTCACTTACAAACTCTTTGAGCATCACAAACATCCCAAACTTGTGTCACCAGCAGCAGCCACATATTTATCACTGAAGAAAAAACGAAAAAAAAAAATGCATTAAAAATAAGTGATGAGGAAAACTCAATTTGATCCCTTCAGTAAGATGATGTTGTGGCTTTGTTACACTTTGGAGGGCATTTTGAATATATTCTTTGCTAGGAATCAGAAAAAGGGAAAAAAAAATCTTATGCTATGGCTTATGTTAAATAAGTAACAATAAATTATTTTTTTATACTGTTTTAACAGTAAGCACCTGCAGTACCTCCACAGCCCACCTGCAGGCACCGCCCACACTTTCAGAACCACTCGTATAAAATTTAAAGTATAAATATATTTATTAAGCTGATCATATCAGTGCATCTAGATGAGGTAGATAGATGAGATGTTTCAGTCATACTGTAGCAATCATGTTCCATAGCTGGTTTTGGAACTAGAGGAAATGGTTTAGGAAAAGGAGGTGTTTCTCGCTTAGACTGATGTCCTTGACCCGGATACACATGGATGGATGGATTTGTTAAACTAATATTAATAAATGAAAATAATGAATAGATAATTAGTATTGCAGCACAGTGATGCAGTGGTTAGCACTGTTGCCTGAGTTCAGTTCCATCATCAGGCCAGGGCCTTTCTGTGTGGAGTTTGCTTGTTGTCTGTGTTTGTGTGGATTCTTTCCAGGTACTCCGGCTTCATTCCACAGTACAAACACATGTAGTTAGTGGGGCTAGGTTAACTGGTGATTTTAAATTGCATATAGGCATGAATGTGAATGGTTGTCTGTCTCTCTTTGTTAGCTCTGCGACAGACTGGCGACTTGTCCAGGGTGTACTTTGTTTTTTGTCCTAAGACAGCTGGGACAGGCTCCAGCACCCCTATGACCCTGAGTTGGATAAGTGGAGTAGGATGGATAACTACTAGTATTACCTTACTGAATCTTTATTCTTGTCTTTCTTTACACTTGTACTTTGATATATATTAAGACATATTTAAATTTTAGACTCTACAGGATTTAAAAAGTCATGACCCTGGTAGTCATTGAATAGTTGTTACTAAAGCAATTTCAGAGCCTCTTTTCACACAGCTCTGGCAGTATCGTGGTTATAGTGCAGATAGTTTCTCAGGCTGAAACACTAACATTAAAAAAGATTGAACGAGTATAGTAATATGAATATAGAGACAGTGTGTGGTGTGGAAACTCTGCAAAGGTCTTGACTAGCATTTCTGACAATGTGCTCACCACACAAATTTGCATCCCTTCATATCAGACTTTATGTGCTATCATACACTGCTTTGCATTTAGTCTCAATGCTGCAATAGACAGGAGTCTTCACCAAAATCATCTAAATGCCTTTTTTTTTCTAGAAAAATTAGAGTTTAGCTCACATTTGGAGATTCTGATACTTGTAAAATTAATGCGAAGGAATACTGAAACTCTTCTGGTGAAACTTTACGTTTAATACCACCAGAAATAATTACAGCTTCTAGATAACATGCATGAAAAAGCAGCTGCACCCCCTGAACTCCAAATAAAATGAATAAAAAAAAAACCAAAATTATATCAAATGCTTTTTGTCAAGTTTGTAAAGTCAGGTAAAATCATACTACTCTACATTGCTGACTATTTTCTTGTGGATATTTTAATAGTTTGAAGAAAATTGAAGGTATTGGAGTTAAAATCAGCTTTAGCACGCCTGTAAAATTTAGTAGACATAAGTAGTTATATACTTTGGAACAACAGTTTGGCGAATCCGCTGAGTTATTTAAATGTTTTCAATATCACTGATGCTTCCTTCTGTAAACATAACTCAGGTTTTCATGACACTGACTTTTCCCTCAGCTAAAGGAAAACTGGAACGTATAACAAACTCAATACTTACACAGTCGAACACAGAAAAGTGGAACCTCCATGTTGTCTTGCTGACAGAATTTCAGACCAATAAAGTGTTTAGCATAACTGAAGACCACTTCTTCCTGTTTGACTGCTGAAGTATAGAGGCGTTATCTTTCTACTCATGAGGCCTTATCCTGTGGTTGGATCTCGTACTTATACCTGTTCAGCCCAAAATCACCTCAGTAGGCCTTTAAAGGGCTGAAGTACTACAAACTAACTAAAGCATCATAATCCTTTAGTACTGAATTCAATGTGTAATTGCAAATCATATCATGTCACTTGGTTGTCATAGCTCATACATTATAGCTCACAGTGGATTTGTGTTGTTAATAACATACAAAATGATCCAGTGACCTCTACAGGGCATAGTGTTTAACAACAGTCTTTCTGGGGTTCCTACTAAAATGACAACTGTGAAACTGGTTGCTAAACATGATTTTAAATGGTGAATGACTTCTTTGCTTTGCTGCTTTTTTGAACTGTCTGTATGCCTAAAGTACACATTTATTCATCAGTCACTTACCAATTAATGTCACTCATATCAGTTTGGACAGGACAATTCAAAAGCATTTTAACAACTTTATATTCTAACTTTGTAAATAAATAAAATTAAAAATTCAAAGAATTTGCCATTTGAACTATATGGATATGGTCTTACTGTAAGACTTATTCTGTTTGAGCTCATTTATTGACATGTACACTTAGATCTATAATATGTTTTTTTTTCATCCCTAAATTTGGATATTGTGTATTCTGCATTTGTAAATTTTGTATTTATAAGTCTGAGAGAATATAACAAAAGCTAAAGTTAGTATCCGGTTTAATGGTTACATTTTAACTTGAAGGTGATGCTTCTACATTATTTTACTATGTCATGGTTACATGCAAATATGCATGGTTATCTTAAACTAAACCAACTGCAAGCAGTGATGTAGTTGAAAGAATGACTCTGGAAGGACTGCAGCGGGTAAGTAACTGTGCATTTCTAACTAAACATTATCATTTGTAGCAACCAAATTTTACCAACTTTTGCCCAACTCAAAATTTGTGTCTGATCTGTCAAACAATTGCAAGTAAGCACACATGTGTATATACACTGTATATGGAATGCAGTAAAAGTTACTTAATAGTTGTAAAATGCTATATTCAGATAGATTAAGAAACACCTAAAGATAGTTTTTCAAGCTTTAAGCTGCATAGTTGTATATAAACATGGCTGGACTATTTTCTTATTTCTAACAACCCAATGGTGTGTCACGATCCTGGGTCTTTTGACCAGGCGTTTTGAGTTTAAGTTTATTTTGAGGTTTATGGTTTATGTTTAAGTTCACTGGGTTTTCTAAGTTCATTTGTTTTTTAACTTCCCACTTGTGTTTTCAACCCCTGTGTTAAGTCCCCCTTTTCCTTTATGTGTTTCATGTCTTTTGTTGTCAAGTTCATGTTGTCATGTCTGCGTTTCATCATGTTTCCTGTTTTATTTTGAAGAGGTCCTGTGTTCCTGTGTTGTGTTTAGTTTTACTGTTCCCCTGTGATGTTGTTCTGTGCATGTGTGTCAGCTGTTTCCCCGTATGTTCCCACTTCCCTCATTATCCTCCTGTATGTATTTAGTCCGTGTGTTTCCAGTCATTACTTGTCAGGTTGTTTGCTAGTCCACATCGTGTCTCCAGGTATCCATGCAAGGTCTTCATGTTCAAGGTTTTTTCATGTTTTAATTTTAGTTCACCCAGTTAACGTTATTCTTTAGTTTCACCCTTGCCCTTTGTTTGTATCTATTTTTGCCAGCCTTAATAAATGGCTTGTTTTTTATTAACGTTACGTTTCACATTCTGTTTTGGTCTGCACTTGAGTCCTTTTTTTTACTATACATGCAGTCTGCCTCAGCCATACTGTGACATGGTGTAAATTCTAATTAAAGGGTTAAATATCCTTAATCAGAAATGCTTTGATATATATATATATATATATATATATATATATATCTATATCTATATATATATATCTATATATATATCCCTTTTCTGAAATATTTGCCTATTTCTAAATTTAAAAAAAGGAATTGATTTGTTTTTCAGAATCCAGAATGTGTTTTCTGTAGAATGAATTCTGCTTTAAACACCCATTTGGTGCTGTTATTGATGGTGTTTGCCCAACTACCTTCTTCCTTTACTAAAGGTAACTAAATGAATCCACAAAGTTATCTTGAAGCATTTTGTTTGTAAAGGCAAATATGAATGTCAGTCGCAGTTTTAAGATTAGTTTCATTTGCAAAGCAGTGGCTACCAAGTTATCACATTCCACTGTTCTCATATTTAATTTTAAATATTCAAAAATAACTATTCATGATCGCACACTTTCTGTCACCCAACTCTAACTATACAGTCTCTAAACCAAAAAAATAATAATTATTATTTTTCTTTCTCCTATCTCAGGTACCATTCAGGTAATTGGTTCATCTCACCCAATAGTTGCTTTAGTGGGTGATGACATCATACTGCCATGCTATTTGAACTCCTCCATAAGTGCCTCAGACAAGACGGTGGAGTGGACAAAATATAAGCTGGATCCCAGATTTGTTTATGTGTGGCGTGATGGTGGTGAACTGGAAAGCAAAAAGAATCCCTCCTACAAAGGAAGAACAACGGTATCCCTTCATAAATTAAAGCATGGAGACATTTCACTGAATCTGTCTAAAGTGAGACTTTCTGATAGAGGAAGATATAGATGCTTCCTTCCAGATATGGGTGAAACTTTAATGGAGCTCATCGTTGGTAAGAAATATCTGATATTTATCAATCAAAGAAGTGGTTTAAGCTTAAACTCAAATACAAAGTATTGCCAGACATTAGCATTTTATAACAGAAAAGTAGTTTCAATTCATATTAAAAAGTCTGTAAATGTGCAGCCAAATCGATCTCTTATTTGGAGTTCCTCTTAATGAAATCATGGTGCACTCTGCCAAAGGAATATTGTGTGCTTCATCTTAGGGGCTGTATCCCTACCTGTAATATTGCGTGTTCAAAAAGCCAAGACTGGAGTTGCATTACAATGTGAGTCTGCAGGCTGGTATCCAGAGCCTGAGCTGCTGTGGTTGGACAGTGAGGGAAACCTCCTCTCTGGGGGACCTACAGAGACCCTCAGAGGTCCTGATGACCTCTTTACTGTCAGCAGCAGAGTGACTGTGGAGAAGAGACACAGCAACAACATCACCTGCAGAGTCCAACAGAGGAACACCAACCAGACCAGAGAGACGCACATCCACATTTCTGGTAAAAACATGATGAAACTCAGGTCACATAGTGAACATGCACATCCATACAGTGTGGTCATGTCCAAACACAATGTTTACTCAGAACATGCGACTAGAAAGGCAACACAATTTTTGGACCTGCTTTTGGTGATATTTGAAGCAAATCCCTTTTATTGTCTTTATTCTTTAAAATATTGGCAAAAATATAGGTCATATAAAAAAGAAATCAAATACACATATACAACTGTTGATTGTGTTATTGGGATGTGATTCATTATTTTCTGTTTCAGATTATTTTTTCACGACCCCGCCAAATCCTGCAGTTTGTGTCAGTCTGCTCACTCTCTTTGTTATTTCACTTTTCTGCATTCTTCTGGTGATCTTTGTTTGCTGGATACAGAGAAGGAAAAAGATCAGTAAGTCGTATGCAAAATAATTAAAAAAAAATTTTTCTCTTGCAGCTCAGTGATTGATTTACAGTGAAGTGATGAATAAGAGCACTCAGACCTGTTTTTTAGTATCAAGAAAATCTCAGAATGATTCTGCAGTAGTACACAATAGTAAAACAGTCCACTCAAAACTGGCCAATTAAAGATGTTTTTCATGTGTTCTTAGGATCACATTTGAATGCATTATACTGTAAGATGTCTTTTTTGAGTCTTAACGTTATGGATGACAAGATTGTGTATTATCAACCCAAGCAGATTTTTTCTAAAACATCAAGCAGTAAAGTAAAAAAAAATGAGGCTGACAAATTTATTACACCATCAAATGTCCTGTTTTCTTATACAGGAAGAAAGAGGTTTCTGCCTTCCTCTTTACAATCCTTTGTTTCCTCTTGTCATAAACCATTGCTCCTGTCAGCTCCTCAAGCTGCTCTTGCAAAATGACTCATTTTATATACTTTGTTGTAGTAGCATTTATCACAAAGGCAGACCAAAGGTATTTTTCAAAGGCAAACCTGGGGAATGAGGAGCGGCTCAAATGCCACAGCATACAAGTAACTATTGTTTAAAGTAAAGACTAATCTAAAGTAAATATCCTTTTTTTTTTATAGAATAGAATTCAACTTTATTGTCGTGTCACAGGTACAAGGGAACGAAATGCAGTTTGCATCCATCCAGAAGTGCTTTAGCCATGATATAGATATATTACAATATATATTAGCAATAATATAGACAGAAATGGGTCTGTTGTAGGTATGAGGGTACAAAATATGGGCCTATTATGGGTATGTTATAATGTACACGGTATGAAGGTACCGTGCACATTATATGCTATAAGTATAAGTATGTGCAGGCTGTAGTGGTGTACAAGCTATGTAGAGGCCATGAACAGGATATAAATATGAAAAACTATACAGAAATGTGAACTATGCAAGTTATAAACAGTTGTAGAATTAAAATTATCGTATTGTACAGAATGATTATTTATACAGAATTATACAGTAGTGCAGGTAAGATAAGTGAAATATGTGGATAATTCCTGCAGAGGCTATATAAAGTGCTAGTGGTTGTGAGTGGTGGTTCAGTCCATGTTATTATTGTGTGTTTGAGGGTACAGTTGTCCATTATTTGTTTTTGTCCATTGTGGGCGTGTGTATGTTCAGTCCATGTGTTTAATGTGGGTCAGATGTCATGAGGCAGAGTTCAGGAGTCTGACAGCTTTGGGGAAGAAGCTGTTCCAGTACCTGGTGGTCTTAGTCCGGAGGCTCCTGTAGCGCCTCCCAGAGGGCAGGAGGGTGAAGAGTCCATGTGATGGGTGACTGGGGTCTTTGATGATTTTCCCAGCCCTTTTCAGACACCGCTTCCTGTAGATGTCCTTTATGGCAGGAAGTGGTGCTTCGGCGATGCGCTGGGCAGTTTTCACAACTCTCTGCAACGCCTTCCGGTCCGAGGCAGAGCAGTTCCCGTACCAAACTGTTATACAGTTGGTCAGGATGCTCTCGATGGTGCAGCAATAGAAGTTCACCAGGATGTCTGAGGACAGGTGGTTCTTCCTCAGAGTCCTCAAGAGGAAGAGGCGCTGGTGAGCCTTCTTGACCCGCTTGGAGCAGTTGGTCGTCCAGGTGAGATCCTCGGAGATGTGGACTCCCAGGAACTTGAAGCTGCTCACACGCTCCACAGCCGTCCCTTTAATGTGGATGGGTGGATGTGGGTCAGCATTCCTCCTGTAGTCCACAATGAGCTCCTTGGTCTTCTCGGTGTTAAGCAGCAGGTTGTTTGTGTCGCACCACTCAGCCAGACGATCTATCTCCTCCCTGTAGGCGGCCTCATCGTTGTCACTGATGAGGCCAGTCACCTTGGTGTCATCTGCAAACTTATTTTTTTTATTTATTTTTTTATTATTTTTTTTTTTGGCCTGTCCCGTTTGGCTCTTTTGCCATCAGAATTCATCTGATGGCTAAAGTAAATATCCTTTCTCTGTGCACAGGAATTCAGACAAACCACGCTGTAGCTCAGATGGAACAAGACTGAGACAAGCAGAGCCAAAAGAAGAAATGGAGACTCATAAGATGTTGGAAAAGAGAAGACAAGAGAATTAATCAGTGACAGTATGCTTTCATATAGTGTGTTTATTTCAGAACCTTTCGTCTTTCAGCTGCACCATTTAGGGAGTGATCATCTGTGTCCATCTATTTCTGTCTCTATCCTCCTCTGTCACACAAACCTCCTTCGCTACATCCATAAATCTTCTCTGTCTAATTCACTGAGCTGTTTCGTCCGACCCATTACTTGACATACTTCTTGAGGCAAACTTTACACATCTGTGGCAATGGGATTGAAAACACATGAATTCAAAAAGTAAGAGCTGTGGCTCAATACTTTTCCATATAATTTACTATGAAAGTAAAAACCACCACTCAGTAGACTGCATGCTTAAACAGCAGTTTATTTGAGTTTTGATTTATTTTCTTGCTAATACATACAGAAAAATATTTAAGCAGTTAAATGTGCTTTGGTATTTGCTATACATAAGGACAAAAAGGCAGTACATCAAGTAAGATACAGACCATATCATAAACATTAAGTGGTAACCATGAAGAGATTTTTAATGTAAAAATTCAGAGAAGGAATAATCGTTTTGAGAAGTTAATTGGTCTTTTGGTGTCTTTTTTAACTTTGGTTTTTTTAGTTGTACAGTTTTGTTTAATAGTCGTGATGTGCACAATGTTGAATAAATAACTTAATAAAATTTCTTTCTTTTATTCATCCAAATATGTTTTTTAATCAAAACATTATGACTATGTATTATAGGCTAGGACAGATGTGCGACAGTGTCTACATCTATCACAGTGGAAACTCCATCTGGTCATCATTGTCATTATTTCCTCAATAAACATCCTTTACGTTATCAGTGTGTTTTTAATCTATGTTAACAGCTCAGCCATACCAAAGCAAATCACTGGGAAGTAATTAACAAGTTATTTCACGTTCATATTTCGCATATATGGTCATTAGAGCACAGAGGCCACTCCATTAGGTTTGAATATCTATCTACAGTATTCTGGCTGATGTATGAATGATATTTCTATAGGCAGACTGATCATTTCATTCAAACCAGCATTAGCTTCCTCGAGTGACAGAGAGCGAGTGGATATCATGTTTTTTGTTAACATGAATGTTCAAGATGTTCAATAAACATGTTAAGTGTGTATATTTACTTTTTTCTCAAGTCTGTTTGCTTATGCAAAATGAAAAGCAATTAATGTAGAATAAAAATGAATGATATTTAATCATGATTAATCAAAATGAATCCCTGTGATGAATCTGTGATGAATCTCATTAAACATTTGAATTGTTTGACAGCACTAATATATATTATATATTAGTCTATTCTTGCACATTAGTGTATATAGTTTTTTTTAAAGTTGTATTTCACACAGAGAACCTGTGTTAAAAGACTGAAGAAAACTATTCAAATTATCTTTGAATTTAAGCATTTAACATTATTTGTGTTTATTCTGCATTTACTTCATTATATTGCATAAATGTCAGTTACAAGCTTAAATATAAAATGTAATGCAACCAGGCTATTGATCAAGTAATTGCGATTAATCGCGATTAATTACAGAATATTGTGTGATTAATTAGTTCATTTTTTTAATCTATTGACAGCACTAGTAATTATATATATCTAAAATATATGTATTCTTTTAGTTTTCTCAAACTATATTAATCAACCAAGACAGAGTTTTCTTTTTCTATAAACATTTTGTTAGGTCTAAGAGGGTCATTTGTGTGTCTGTTACTTC